CATTCTTCCACCCAGCGCTCTGGCTGCGACGTGCTGTCTGCTGTCTTAGAAGGATGCAAATCAAAGTAATGTAAAGATGTCAAGGATGAGTGCAGTACAGAATCTAGGACATCTAGGACTGAAGCTCCCAGAATCTCGGAGTTTCGATATGTTCCTATGCAGATTGTTGCATCTCACGAGCGCGAGAGATGTGCTAGCAACAGGCGCCGGCCTCCGCAAACACTATGCCAAAGCCGTCTACAAGTTTGTGTCTGGGCGCAGCTTCCGCGGAAAGTGGGGCGGAAAGTTGCGGCGTTTCGCGCCTCCGCATCAGAGCTGCACTAACGACCTTGTCCAGTCGCAGCGGCCAGTCCTTTGCGTTCGGTCAACGTCTTGCAAAGCCGGAGGCCTCAAAGTGGAAACCTGGGCCTTGCCGCTTTGGGCCGTTCCTCTGACTTTTTGAACGTCATGTGGTTGGCCCGGAAGCTTGGCAAGCACGTTTGGGGCCTGCATCTGCGGAGAGTTCAATTTTCGCTTCTTTGTTTGCCTCGGACAATTGAGGAAGAGTTCCAACAAAGCAGATCTTCTGAAGCCAAAGACCCCTGCCTACTGATAGAGACTGATAGACGATAGACTGTGATAGACTAGACTCTGTGCTGTAGCATGCCAGACGGATATGAAGGGCTCGGGACCCAGACATGGTGGTGTGATGTCGCGGTGTGGACAAAAAGGTGCTGCATGTTTGCGAAATGTCTGCCAGGCAAGGTGCTGCATGGTTGCAGAAAAGTCAGCAGAGGGAAAGGAAACTTGCCTCCCTTCCACCCCAGGTGGGGCTCTGGCACGTGAGCCGGGGGCCACAGTCAGATGGGAAGGGAGGAGAGAGAAAGCTGCCGGGCTTGTGTCCCATGTCAGCCCACCTGCCGAGGCAAAATCTGCACGGGCCCCGGCTTTCGACGCTGCATCCGGCCTCAGTCCTCCGATCATTAATTAGGTCACAGACGCAGAAGGACGAGCTGCTGAATTTGCGCGGGCAGGTCACGAAGAGAGGGCGAGAGAGATGGGGAGATCCGCACAGCTGCAACCGCCTTGATTTGACATGTGCAGAAACTGTCTGAGTATATCCAGCAAATTTGGGAACTGGAATCTGGGTAGCAGTGTCTCTTCAGTCTATTCCGATGGCTTCGTGTGTCAACATGTGTCTGCCACATGCTCGCTGCCGGCGAAAACAGAGAAGGTTGGAGGAACTTGGCATGCGCCTGCACCGCAGCTTGAGCTCAAGCAGCGCCCGTGCGGGCAAGTTTTCGAATTATACCAAGGCCTTGCTGCGACATGACATTTGCCCAAGCAGCCTCGTCTTACTGTTCGGAACTTCCGGAACGAAGGTATTTCTGAGTAGCGTGCCTGTGCCTCCTCTGCACCCGGCTACTTTTGCAGGATGATGGACTACCTTCGAAAGGCTTCGGGCGCCCTCGAAGCCTCCCTCGGCGTGGGGTCCAGCACGGCATCGGTCCTTGGCCCAGAGTGCCGAAAGTGCAGAGGCAGCAGTAGCGAGCCTCTTCCACACCAGCCTCACGGTCCAGCGCGGCTACCTTTGCAGCCTTCCTCCAGGTCTTGACGTTCCTGCTGATTCTCATCAGCGTCTACGTGACGCTGCAGATTTTTCAAGCAGCTCGCCGAAGCTTGGATTGCATGGCCTCGTGCGGAGCACCTGCCAATCAGGTTGTGAGTGGCTCGGGGATTCGATCACGGCGCTCACGAGGAAATGCAGCTCTCATTTTAGGCGACTTGCTGGCAGATGCTGGCAGCTTGCAGACTTTCTTTGGCCCAGCTACATGTAGAATTGCGAGGCCCTTGCGGCTCGGGCAAGACCTCGGTATTTTTCCGACTCCGTGATGGGGAAGAGGCAGCGAAGATTGTTCTGTGCATCTTTGCGAAAACTCCGTGTGTCGATTAGGTGCAGACGGTGTCCTCCTTGGCGCCTGCACGCGACAGCTTTGAGATCAAGGCCGGCGAGGTGCCAGCTGTGCTCGGAGTACATGGGTCTTCAGAAATTCAAGGAGTCTTTACTTTGCACATGAGCATGCAGGCAGCGGATCAGAAGCTTGGGCCCTTGGAGGCTGCGGGGACCCACGTTGCAGCACCCGTTTGCCACAATCTCCTGCAGGTGGTTGACTTCCCCGGCCATCTGCGAATGAGAGGGAAGGCGAATGACATGGTGAAGGAGGCGAACCAGCCGTTTCAGTCAAAGGTTTAAGAAGCCGTGGTCAGATGAAGGCGCGATGTATCATCTACTTGGTCGATGCAGAAGACAAGCCCAAGCTGAAGGATGGGAGCTCGACGGAGTGATTGCCAGCATCCCAAAAACCACGGTTACGTGACACCAATGGTGAAGCTCTGCGAAGCTCTTCGCAGTGCGTTATTCCGAGTCAGCTGTCACCACGCCGTTCTCTGCTACATGATGCTTGGCCCATTAATGGGCCGCCAGGACGTGGCAGAGCATTTTTACGAGCTCTTCACTCACCCCGTGCGGAACTTACTGGGTCTACCATCGTGGCACATTGCCCATGACCGCGCAGTGGCGTAGTGCACTCTTCGGGCAGGATGTCCTGGAGCTTCACACTCCCATGCTGGTGGCCTGCAACAAGAGTGACTTGACATCTGCGCGCACCGAGAAGTTCATCGTCAGGGCCTTGGTCTGGGCTGGTGTTATGTATTCTTCCGCGGTCCTCTCTTCGTCAAAGGTGGAAGAAATCGAACGGGAGATTGAACAGATGCGTGTGTCGCGTGCGGCGACGCTGGAGGGGCAAGATCAGGCAGACAGTGCGGCGCTCGAAGGTTGATGCGGACTTCCGGTGCCGGCTCCTTTCCGCAACTGCGGCGAACTGAGGCTACCTGGGCGTAGATGGCGAGAAGTTCAAGCTTCTGGACTGCTGGAAAGAAAGCACACATCCGTTTCGTGAGCTGCACTTGGCCTGCCCCGTCCGCCCTGAGAGGAGCATGCTCCTTGCCCGATACAAACATGCAGAATTTCGGCGAAGAAGAACCAACTGGATCCCTTGCAGCTTGGCGAGAGCATTGCCTTCGAGAAGCCCCTGTCTTACAGCTTTAGCAGTTTTCGCCGAGGTACGACTTCCTTCTTCAGCAGTTTGCTTAGCCACAAACTTAGTATCGTGCAGGAGGACAAAGCCGCGGGTAATTCACAGAGAGCAACCTCCATCCGCAAAGCTTCGCTAGATTTCCAGCCGCTCTGGCCAGGACCGAACTCTGAAACAAGCTGCTGGAACAACCAGCCGGCTGTGAAGAAAAAGGGTTTAGTAATGTCAATAGTCGGTGGCCAGGCTGCAACAGGTCGAGCATAGAAAGTTTCAGCATGTCATGACCAGCAGTCCGCCATATCGAACTGCTTGGAAGTCGGAGGCTTGTTGCAAGCAGTGCAAGAGCACAGATGCAAGCGTGCCGGGCTTCACCCCGAGTATAGTCGGGCCCGGCAGAGCCTGGTTCCGATCCGTTCGACTCATGATGCTTGACTGAGCCATGCTTCTATGGCCTGCCTCTGCCTGCCAATGAAGATGCAGGTAACGCAGGTCTTGTGCAGGGTGCAGAAAAAGCTTTTTGGAGGGCGGTCCCGGCCCCTTAGCCTCAGCTCCTTGACACGGCATGGAACCACGATACTGGCTGGTGAGCAGGCCTCCATGCAGCAGCTGCAGCTGAAGGACAGAACTCGGGGGATCGGAGGAGGGATGGGCAGGGCCGCAGACGCCGTGGTCTCACGAGCTCCAGGAAGCTGCCGCCGCTGCCGCCGAAGCCGAGCAGTCGTGCTCAGAGCCCTTTGCCCAGACCAAGAAGGCCCAAGAAGGCCCTGAATCTCAGCCTCTGCTCCTGGCCTCGCGGCTTCGGCCCAAGGTTGAAGACCCAGCATGAAGCAGAAGTGGGAAGCTTGAGGGCCCAGCTGCACGAGGCGCCCAAAGGGAGACAGACATAGACATGTATGGCACGGCACGGTGTCTACAGGAGCGCGAAGAGCAGGTCTGCCTGTCTGCCTGTCGGGTCTGTCCGTACGTACGTACGTATGTATGGCCATTTTGGCTCAATTTTTTTTGGCTCCGCCGCGACGACTTGTTGGATGCCCGACGCAACGGACAGTCGCCCAATGCTGGCGGCCTTGATGATCCTCGGCGCAATTTTCACATCTAGCGGACCGAGCGGCCCTGCAAGAGCATTTTTCCCAAGTGCGCATCAGAATGGATTATCTGAGCATTCCTTTGCCATTGCCGTGACGCATGGCTTCGACGGCGTCGTCTCCCTAGGTGCTTGCTCCGTTGAAGATTCCCATGCAGGGTCGCTTGCTACTCTGGAGACGGATGGCAGCGTGCCCACACAGGGCCTCACTGACCCCGGCGAAGCATCCTCGCTGCTTGCGGAAAGCGAGCGCGAGATCGCTGCGCTTGACACCTCCAACATCCCCCAGGCGATCGAAAGACGTTTCGGAGTAGGGGCCGCCGCGCTGACAAGCGTGGTCGTGGCCTCCTTGATCTTCTTGAGATCCAAAATGAGACCTTCGAGTTCGTCGCAAAGCCTCCTTGTTCTACTTTGCGCGGCGGTTCTGTTTATGGCGGTGCCTTCTGAAGGCACTGCCACCGCCGTTTATGTGACGGATGGTGCGGGCGCAGCTGTATTGGATGATGGACGGCTGGTGACCTGGGGCGATGCAGGCTATGGAGGCGACTCCTCGTCCGTGGCATCTCAACTGACAAATGTTCAAGAGGTGGTCACCACTTCAAGGGCATTTGGGGCCCGGAAAAGCGATGGCAGCGTCGTTGTTTGGGGTGATTCCGGCTATGCTGGCGACGCAAGCTCACTCGCTGCACCACTGTCAAGTGGCGTGACCAAGATCGTGTCTGGTTTCTTCGCCATGGCCGCGCTAAAGTCTGATGGTAGTGTCGTTGCCTGGGGCAATTCCGGTTTTGGTGGTGACACCAGCTCTGTTGCTGCCCAGCTAACCTCGGGCTGCGTGGGTTTGTACTCGAACAAGCACGCCTTCGTAGTGCTGAAGAGCGACGGATCAGCGGTAACCTGGGGTAGCGGTGCCGGATTGACATCACCAGAAGACATCACATCGCTCATCGACTCCACGGTAACTGAGATCCTAGGATCTCATCATGCCTTTGCTGCATTGCGGGCCGATGGAAGAGTGGTCACCTGGGGCGACGTGAATACCGGGGGCGACTCCAGGATGCTTTCTTCACAGCTCTCCTCTGGTGTCATGAGCCTTCATGGAGGTTCCATGCAGTTTGCCGCGTTGAAGTCCGATGGCACAGCATTGGTGTGGGGCATGGGGCCTGGGGGGAGTACTTGGGGCGAAGCCTTCTCGTCAGCCAAGAGCTTTGCTTTCTCCCATACGGCCGTGGCCATTGTGTTCACGGATGGCACAGTGGCCTCCCGCGGAAATACTAATGATCAGTATGGCGCGGATTCGAGCGCGGTCTCAGCACAGTTGACGGATGTGGATCGCATCTATGGCGGCTGGCATGCCAGTGCCTTCATCGCAGTCAAAAGCAATGGAGATGCAGTTGTATGGGGGCATCCTACTCGTGGTGGGGATGCATCCGGAGTGGATCTCTGTTGCGTCCAAGCAGGCTTTGGTGGCTTCGATGCCACGGCAATACTCAAAACGGACGGCAGCGTCGTGGCCTTCGGAGAATCGGCCAACGGTGGAAACACTCAGCATCCGAACTCCGCGACAGACGTGACCTCGGGGGTGACGACCATTGCTATTCCGCCTCGAGATGGCGAGTTCTTCGCCGCTCTAAAATCAGATGGGACTCTGGCAGCCTGGGGAAACCGTGGGGGCTCTGTCCCAGATGGCCTGGTGCCGACAAGTACGGCAACTTCCTCAACATCCACATCGAGCTCGAC